CTGATCCCCCCCCCTTTTCTGCTTTCCCTACTTTTACAGGCACCCTATAGTCTATGGCTGTTTCACATGACTCTGTTTCATTTTGACTCCGCATTTAATATTCTCTACCTCTGCCATCTCACACATTCTAACGTTGACTCCAAAGTCTAGGCCTCTTAGTTTCCTCACAATTTTTCAGCTCCAGTTCCACATTTTCAACTGCCCAGTGGAGAACCATCCAACTGGATGATCTGCTAAACCTTAAACTGAACAGAAACAGTCTTGGTGCTTACGGAACAGGTTTAAAACCAAATCTATCACCTCATTCAACTAGTTCTTCCTACCCACTCTCCTAAAGGCACCAGTACCTCTCCAGTCATTTGTCTTAATATCTTGAAATTGTATCTGACTCTGCTCCCATTGCTAAACCCTGTAGATTCTAGAGCTGTAACATCTCATCATCATTTTTACTGAAACTGCTTTAGTTCACTGTCTATCTCTGTTTTACTATGTTGCCATTAGTACTAGCTCTGAGAAAAATCAATGCCATAAATGGTGAGGGGCCAGATCCAGAATGCAAAGGATTTATCAGAAACACTAGAATCACTGAAAGCAGATGAGGAATTCCAGATATTTGGTAGGTGAATACTCTGAGGTGAGAGACAAAGGATGCACGTGATTCTGTTTTGTCTTTTAAACTTTAAAGACGAATAAGCATTAGTAGGCAGGAGTGAAGGAATCAACACAGAACAAGAACATACAGATTCCAAATGAAATCTCATTTATTTATTCACTGACAGATATTTTTGTAACTCTGATGTTCTAGGCATAATGTTAAGTTCTAGGTATACAATGGCAAATAAAATTAGGTATAGAACCAGCCTTTACAAATCTTCAAGTTTAATGAGGGAGGCAAATGTTGTTAATCAAGTAATCATAGAATATAAAATTGAAAGTAATGACAATTAGATATATAATTTAAAAACTGTTAAGTACTTGGTATCGTGAGGGCCTGTTTAGAGATACTGGAGCTGGTCAGGAAAGTCAGGAAGTTACCTGAGGAGGAAACAGCTCCTTAAATTCTGAAATGATGAAGGGGAATTACCAAGGAAGTAGAGAAGCAAGAACATTTTGAATCTGTGTCCTGTGGTGGGAGAAAGTATGCTGAGGAAAGGTATGAGAGAAGGTCAGAGTGGCAGGAATGGAGAGAACAATGTAGGCAGGTGCAAGATGGGGCTGGAGAAGCAGGGGATAGACCTTGTAGGCCATGTAGGCCACAAACTGAGGTTTTTCTTTAAGAGCAACTGGAAACTGGAAGGGCTGGTGTAAGGTGGAAGACATGATTGGCTGACTCCAGATCTCTCCAACAATGATCTTCCTAAAGCACAAACTTTGTGATGCTACTCTCCCCAAACCTTAAGTGGCTTTCACCCTGAATTAAGTTCACTTGCCATTGAAAGACCTATCTTATAATAGACTCAACTGTTCTTTTCAGTTACCTTACACTCTTGACTATATCTCTTAACTTTTTCCATGCTATCAGTACTTCCTAGAATGCTTTGATCTATTCCTATTTTTTGAAATCCTTTCTACTTCCCTGAAACTATTTCTGATCCTTTAAATTCAGATTTGAAGTGCTACAATAGCTTGTGCTTTTCTTTCTTTTTTCTTTTTTAGCACTTAACATATTGGGTGTTTTATTGTAGTTACTTGTGCACATCCCCTTCCCACAACCAGTGCTGCTCAAAAATATATGTTGGATAATTTTTGAGTCCAATTTTTAAGTATTTGAAAAATTTTCCATCATTGTGTGCATGGCTGATTCAACACTGATTCATAGTTATAATACTGTAGCAAAATATGAGTCTCATATTTTCAGGTATACACGAGCTCTACTTATTCTGGTTTACATGGCATGATATTAAAGACAAAAAATGTCTAAAGTTTAGAAGAAAAATAAGAGTTTTAAGTAATGTACTTATCTATCCTTCAGCTGACAGTCAGATAGTATCTCAGTGAAGAAACTCAGGTTACTTCAGAGTACCTAGTTTAAAGAAGCAGTACCAATGAACACATAGCATCTTTGCATTAATGAATAAACAATAGGGAGTAAAAATGGAAAACATTATCTTAAGACTCAGAGCTTTTGCTCTGTGTGTGTGGCACTGAGGATTGAACCCAGCACCTCATGCACGCTAGGAAAGAGCTCTATCATTGAGCTACATCTGATTCTAAACCTATCTTCAAATAACTGCTGAAATTAAAAAAACACAAAAAATTTCTAGGCTTCTCTAGTCATTGATTTGACTTATCCTCAGATGAAAACATAAAGAATAAAATGGAAAGAGAAAAAAGGCCCACAGCTGTAGTGGGATTCTGTAAGTAGTTTCAACCACTTAACGGTTTACCCTGAGCGTCACTTGGGCAGCTCGTTTGTTTACTTACTTTCTATCCATGTATCATTTAGGCAGGTGTCATTTTATTTATTTATTTTTTTTGGTACCGGGGATTGAACTCGGATCCTTGTGCTTGTGAGGCAGGCGCTGGAACCACTGAGCTAAATCCCTGGCCCCCAAGTGTCATTTTAACCAGTCGATTCTTGTACTGAATAAATTTGATAAAACTGTTGTTTTTATATTTTTTTAATATTATCTCAAAAAATGCAATTTTTGGTCATACTGTATTTAATTCGACTGATAAGTGGTTAAAACCTATTGTAATATTTTTTAAAAATCAACTTACTGGGCCGGGAATTTAGCTCAGTGGTTCCACTACCTGCCTTGCAAGTGCAAGGTCCCAAGTTCAATCCCCGGTACAAAAAAAGAAAAAAAAAAATCAACTTACCCATTTTATTTTTTTCTTTATCACCTTTAGTATAATACTGAGGTACAAAACCATTCCAGTTTCCTTTTATGTCCAGGAAAGTTCTTCATTTTTGAAATAAACAGTAACATGTCAAAGTCTGCACCAAAGAATATGGCAATCTTGGAGGTGTTCCTCCCATTTATTAAATGTGTACTCCGTACTCTTTCCAGAATGACTAGCCAAATTATTTAAATGTATTTCTTTGCCAAGGTTAATGACTAAGATACTTAACAAAGTATAACTACTAGGCAGTGTCATCATGGATTTCTACCAGCAAAATTGTTTTCCAGATCAAACATATTTATTTTCATTATCTCTTTCAATAGCCTTTGATATACTACATTTAGAATAGTTCCTCAGTCCCAGCCACTTGGGAAGCTGAGGCAGAATACCTGAATTCAGAGATTTGAGGCCAGCCTGGGCAACATAGTTAGACTCCTATCTCATTAAAAACAAACCAAGTTTCTTCTTTATAACATCTTAACATCTCACAGTTGAATTTGCACTGCTAAGCTGATTTAACTTGCATTTAGTCTAATTCCTCACATTGCCAGCAACAAAAAAATACCCAAATGAGGTTAAGTAATTTGTACAAGGCTATATTGCTGGTGAGGGACAAAAACAAGATATTACCAGGACTGAGACTGGGTTTAGAGTTTCAAGAGACCCTCATATAAGTTACAGGTGTTCTCTCTGGGGTAATTACATTTAATACAAACATTTAATAAAAATTTCATAAATTAAAATTGTAACTAATTTTCTTAGGTATAAAACTAAAGTCTCAAAATTTAAAACGCTGATAGGCATGTAAAGCTGTTACTAGTAAAGAGTTTTAAGAGAAACAGAAAGCAGACAAGAAGAATATACCATGAATAGGTATGTAATTATGGGCTTTCCATTTTAGAACTATTATCTAGAAAACCGAGATAAAAACTTTGATTATAAAAGACTATGACAGCCAAATAAAATAAAATGTTTTTCTTATAACAGATGGCTTATGTCCTGCTAATAGTTGCATTTAATGCTTTTGGATTACCCATTAATAAGGAAGCCAGCATGCTTTCCATTGATATTTCTAATTCAAAAGAAACAAGTTCTTTGTAAATCACTTTGTAGTGATATATTACATGTATGTTTACTAAAGAGGCTGGGCTGCAGTGACTTCAAGATATATCTAAATCCTGTTTGTGACAAGTCTATGGAGTAGCTTTGTAGATGAGTGTTACAGAAGCTTTTTTTCCCCTCATAATTACTGTTGTCTGGCAATTCTCTCAGACTAGTGGCTCCAGCTTCTTTTTTCCCCAATGCTCTAGGACGGAAGTGAAATCAACCAGATGCGTGCACAGACAATGATTATCACTATCTTAAAGTGCAGAACCTAAGGCTAGAGGTAACAGTGCCCCAAAACCTCACGCTTCCTTGCTCTCAGGGAGCTCAGTCAGTCTGAAGATGAAACTGGTATTATCTGGGGACTGGCTCCTGAATTGAGTCTGATTGGCAGGGGCCAACTGCTATGAATTTGGAGGGTACATCTTTTTGCTGTGGACACTTGGCCTTTTTTTGAGTGGTGCTAGGGATAGAACCCAGGGCCTTGGTGGGGGGTTGACATTATAAACTTGCCAAAGATATTGGAAATTCTGAGAGAAAAATCACTGTAGACATTAGGTTTTGATTAAACATTTAAACAAGTACTATTTCTTTAGAAAGTACCTGGACTTCCACATACCTCTGCTGGCTAAGGTAAAGATACTTCAGTTTAAAAAATACTATATTTTCCTTACACAAACTCTCAGAAATTTAATATAGTTTTTTGTTTTGTTTTTTTTTGGTACCGGGGATTGAACTCGGGTCCTTGTGCTTGTGCAAGCAGGCGGCAAAACCACTGAGCTAAATCCCTGGCGCCAGAACTTTCTTTTTTGAGATAAAGTTTTCCTGTTACCTAGGTGGCCTAGAAATTGAGATCCTCCTGCCTCAGCCTCCCCAGTAGCTGGGATTACAGGCATACACCATTGTGCCCAGCCATAATATCATTGTTTGTTTACTCTTTAGTAAATTAAGTGTGTTAGATTTCTGTCAATGTGGCAAAATACTTGAGAAAACAACTCAAAGGAGAGATTTATTCTGGCATGGTTTCACAGGTTTTAGTCCATGGTTACCTGGCTTTGTTGCTTCTGCGCCCACTGTGAAGCAGAACATCATAGCAGGAAGCATGCAGTAGAGCAAAGCAGTTCACCTTAGAGTAAACAGAAGCAGAGAGAAAAAGCGAGGAAGGAGCTGGAGACAAATACACCCTTCCAGGGTACACCCCTGATGCCCTACTTCCTCCAATGGGTCCCATCTCCCGAAGCTACCACCACTTCTGCAAAATGCCATCAAACCATGAATCTATTAACAGATTAGCTGGGGATTTAGCTCAGTGGTTCTGCTGCCTGCCTCGCAAGCGCAAGGTCCTGAGTTCGATCCCCAGTACCAAAAAACAAAAAATCCAGACTAATCCACTGATGAAGTGAGCATCCTCTCTATCCACTGACCTCACTAGGCCTCACCTTTGAGTGTTGGCTGCACTTTGACACATGAACCTTTGAGGGGGGACATTTTAGATCCAAACTGTAAGAATAAACATTTAAATTTCCCAGTAATATAAGTAATAAGACAGTAAACATCATAAGATACTAAACTACAAACAAAAAGGGATACTGAGAAATCCAAACTAAATACCACTAAATACCATACAGATAGTAACACCTTAAATTTTCTCTTTTTTGGCTCATCAGTACTTATTTTGTAAATGTATAAGAAATTTCTAAAACATAAGAAACTGATATGTCCATCAACAGGTGAATGGATAAAAACATGTGGTAAATACAATGAAGTACTATTCTGCCAAAGAAAGGATAAACGAGTCATTTGTAGGAAAATGGATGCACCTTGAGACTATAATGTTAACTGAAGTAACTCAGACATATAAGCTTAAATAGCGTATGGTTTCTTGTATATGAAAAACTCTATATAAAGTACGAAATAAAAACCAGATAATAGGAAAGAGGGAAAAGGTATTATAATCCAGCGTGGACAATGTATCTAAAAGTGTACCTTGAATTAGTACAATTGTCTTACATGTTTTATATGTTCTTTGCCTATCAGTCGAGTTTCCAATCTGTATATATGATAATTAACTTCATAAAGTCTTATAAGATAAATAAATGAATCTGATACTGGAAAAGAAAAAGGGGGGAGTGGTAGGAGGGTGAAGAAGAAGGGGATTGAAACGTGTTATGTATATGTACCAGTCCCTAAGGTGAATATGAACATTATGTACTGCAAACATGTACTAATAAAAGTCAAAAAGAAAAAAAAAATCAATTAGAATAGGACTATTTAGTTCTGGGGAAATTACATACATACATCTTTAAAATAACATTTGGGTGTGAGGTAAAATTAGATGATTTTAAAATTTACTCTTTGGAGGCTTCATATTGCTAAGTGGAAATGTAAAATGGTATTATCTGTGGCAAGGAAAACAGTCTGGCAGTTCCTCCAAAGGTTAATGAAAAGTTACCATATCAACCATCACTTCCATTCTTAGGTATACTTAAAATAACAGAAAACATGTTGACACAAAAAGATGTACACATGAACATTTACAGCACCATTATCCAAAACAACCAAAAAGCGGAAACAATCCAAATGACCACCACCTGAGTAGTGGATAAACAAATGTGGTATATCTACACAATGGAATATTATTTAGTCATAAAAAGGAATTAATACTGTTATGTGCTACAATATGAATAAAAACCTTGAAAACATTTTAAATGAAAGAAGCTAGACACAAAGGTCAGTTATTATATAATTCCACTTATATGAAATGTTCAGATTAGGTAAACAGCGGGGGGTAGGGGAGAGAGATAGAAGATAAGTGGTTATTAGACAACTGGAGAAGGTAAAATTGGGACTGAGTGAATATAATAGAAATTTTGGATAGAAATGTTCAGTTATTAGATAGTACTAATGACTGTATTAACAATGAATATACTAAAAACCAATGAGCTGCACACTTTAAGATGGTGAAGTATTTCAATAAAAATGCAATTAAGTATAAAAATTCCATGATTATAAGGAAATGTAAAAAAATTCAATGATCTTTTAATGTGGTCTCAGATACGTAAAACTAAATTTGAAATGTTAAAGAAGACATGGGAATACTTCTGAGAACCATCTGTTTTTCATGGTGTGCTCACCAATTTTTATAAGGAAATTGGTGATGGGCAGGCTTTAAAAAAACAGCTGGCTGAGGTAAAAAGCCTTAGTCACATCTTTCCATTCATGCCTGGTAGCCCTAGGGAAGTGACTCTCCAGAGTATCTGATCTGTATGATGGTTCCCTAAAGTGGCTGCCCATGTCCAGTGATGGCTTTTGTTTAGTGATCATGGTCAAGTTGAGCTTGTTTAAATACCATTTCCCAGGACTTACATGCTACTCCCTGAACAACAGGAATACTCAAAGCTTTTAGAGGGAATAAACTATTGCATGGTCTCTGCCTAGGAAGTGGAATACAGTTCACTGGAAACAGCCAGTTCAGATAAATAAAATGAAAGCAGACATTTTTGAAAATGGTCTCAAAAGCTTTCCATTAGAAAACATCAAGGATATAAAAGTAGAAATAGCATGTACAGTATCTATGTTAGACTACGACAAGTTCATTTACCCTCTATCTTTTCTGAGTATTACAAAGTTTAAGTAGTTATCTCCTTTATTAGATAACTAAATGATTCCCACGGAACACAACATACATCTCTCTCTGGCTACCTACTAAGAGACATTTGATTCCTATGCTAAAATTAACCACAGGAATACAAAGTAGTGGATTGTTTATAAAAGTTCTGTATGAAATGCTGGTGAAAAAGTTATATTTTAAGTACAAGTACTCCTGAGCAAATCTGATTCCCATTTCTGGCAAGTAGGCTATATATAAATGGCCACTTATCTGCTTCTTGATTCTTATCTTTTGACTCTTGATTTTGATCTGGAACTTTCCCTAATTTTAGGTTAGCATTGGCACAGTCCCCTCTTGTGTTATAAGAGTTAAGTATAATGTCAGGGTCAGAGAAAACTGAGGATGACCAAGAACAAAGAGAAGAGGGAAAGAAGAGATGGGACAGAGCTGAGCTATGGGAGGTGTTCTATGTCTATAATATCTTCTCAAAATGACCAGTCAAAATCTTAGAGAAACTATTCTGAATACTGTGAACATGATGAAGTTTCCTATATTGTCAGTAATATGGGAATTATGAGGAATATGAAAAGGAATACAGTGGTACCTCAGTTCACAAACTTAATTTTTGTACAATTTTGGAAAAGACGTTTACTTTTGTGAGGGAAGGATGGCCACAGTTGTTTTCATCACTCGATGCAGAGTTTACAAACAAAAACAAAATTTTGTCAAATGCTTCTGTTTGCAAACAAAAGCATTCGTGAACAGAGGCACCACTGTATATAATGCAGTATGACACTGCACCATAAAATGCACTTTTATGCAATTTGTTACTGTGTTTCCTAATTTGGTTTACAAACACTTCAAAATATATAAATACGTTAACAGATTTTTAGAAATAGAGCAAATAGGAACTAAAATACAAAAAACAAATTGTATATATTCATACATTTTTATCAAAATTCATGCATCAAAGATTGTGAAGAGGCTGATAATAGGGCATTTTTTTTTTTAAGAAAATGAGATTCAACTTTGTTTTATTTCAACATAAATGCCTTTTCTAGGAACAAAACTTGCTATGAGTAAAGTCTGATAAAGTTCAACTCAACAAAATTATAACTAAGGGCTTAAGCAATAAATCTCAGTAATTACTTGGTCATTTTATTGCATTTCTAGTCAGTTCTTAAAAACAGTCAATTATTACTATTATAAATATGTGTAATGACTCCTTGAAATTCTTTAACTAAAACATTAAAAAAGAGAGGACTAAAGGGATATTAATCCTTCACGGTGACATAAGTATAAATTACTTAAACTTTGCTTCAAAAGGTCTTTCTGTGTGCTCATGGCAACCAGTTAGGATCTGAATATATAGTGTAAATACTAATAAATGTTGCAATCACAATAGCTATTTGAGTCCCACAGATTTGATAACAAAGCTAAACAAAGTGAGAACAAATCATGATGTATTTTCATATATAAATATATTTCATTGAACATGCACTGGTCAACTGTACTAACAATATTTGATCAAATCTTTGTGAAATTACATTGGTATAAAATTCCCACAAGTTTATAGTGATAAGTTACATGTTGTGGTCCATTTTCTAAAAAATGCTACTACATCTGTGAAAGTACAATGAAAGAGAAAAAGATGATTTGCTATTGAAACATCTTATTTTTGTTTTCTTTTGTTTTGGCACCAGGAATCAATCTCAGGGCCTTGTGCTTTCCAGGCAGGCATGGTGCCACTAAGCTACATCCCTGGCCATCTTATTTACTTTTAAGAATACTGATGTGGCTGGGGATGGTGGGGAATGCCTGCAATGCCAGCACTCGGGAGGCTGAGGCAGGAAGATCCCTATGAGTTCAAGGGCAGCCTGGGCTACACTGTGAGATCAAGACCAGCCTGCACTACATGCAAGGCCCTGTCTCAAAAACCAAACCAAACCAAAAAACAAAACAAAACAAAAAACTGATGTGAAAATTCAAGTTCAAGGCTTTTCTCTTCCTCTGGACTATCAGGTTTTAGTCAAAATGTTGATTCCCCAATTCTTTTAATAAGAGACTAGAATCACCACAGCAACATGTGAATACAATTATATATAGATGTACATACTGTTATGTATCCTTTTCTAAGAAGTTTACATGAAGAATTTTGAAAACAGCCTTTCATGCATTAAATAAATCCAAGTAATAAAACTTTACAATATTCATACACAAACACTAACACAGTTATAATAGTACTTATTATATAAAGTAATTGGACACATATAGTCTTCTTTAAAGACTACAACTACCATTTCCAATCTTTTTCTGAGCTATAAAAAAAGAGAAAAATTTTAATATGAATTCTGGAAATGCTTACGAATTATGACTAAAACAAATTCTACTGGGAGTCTAAGAATGGATAGGAAGGCTTTCCACACTAAGCAGTTATTAAGAAGAAAAGAGATGCTCTCTTATGTACCTATATTAACTCTTAGTGGCAATATGCTATAATGCGGAGAGGGTTACTGTTCTAAAAATAGGTGTTTTCCCCTTTCACTTTATGCATGTCTGTCTTTTCTTTGTTTGCTTGTTTCTTTTCATGTTTTGGCTGGTTTATTTATTTAGTGTATCTGTCTTTGTGTGTCCAGTCTTTTTCACTGTAAGACCCTTTCAGCGCTGGCCCTCATGCCTGCTTTTTCTTTCCCCAGTGACAGTGCTGCCTTTTCTAAAAAGTAACTGTGAATTGTACATGGGAGGAATGAGAAGTAAAAACACAGAGTATAATTATATCAATGGAATTATTTTAACATGATAGGTATGTCCTAATTTTATCCCTAAGACAGTGATATTTATGATAAAAGAGCAATAAAAGGACAGAGCTATGGATGAAAGGGGCTATCATTTGAGGCACAGATTCCTTGAGGGAGGCAGAAATATGAAAAGCTCAAAGGGACTTTCTGAGAAATGAGGAAATAAGACATAAAATAATACAGGAGGAGAAGACAGAAATCTTAGATGGTCAAAGAATAAGGAGATTCAGTTAGAAGCTAAAGATTCAGATTGTACATATACAGAATGTAAAAGAATTGTAAGGAGGGCCTATGGCAAATGTTGGAATTATGAGAAAACAAGATTTCTAAAGGAACAACCTAGGATGTACCACCTCAGTACCTACAGTGAAAGATTTTAAGAGAAGCTGAAAGGGCCTAAGCTGAAAAGGATTTTAGTTGCCCAGGAAGCAAAAGGGTCAATGACTAAGAAAAAGGTTAGTTCTAGTTTAAGGGATGAAGGCATGATGACAGAGAAGGCAAATGACAAAAGGAATCAAGTGTTTACTGCTATGACTTGAAAACTGATTGCATATGTGAAACAAGTAATATACCGAAGATGTGTAGAGTTTGTTTTTAGAATTCAAGTTAAGTTACTTTTTTAAATTTAATTTTATTTTTTTTGGTACTGGGGACTGAACTCAGGACCTTGCACTTACAAGGCAGGTGCCAGAACCACTGAGCTAAATCCCCAGCCCAAGTTACTTTTTTTTAATGGATCACTAACGCTTGAAATAACACCCAAAGTTAGGGAAGTCAAACAGTGCATACAAGGACTAGCAACTTTCAATGTTTTGTGTGACAAAGGTGCCTCTTTTAAAACCAAACACTTGCTGTTTCTTTTTATGTGGAATAATCATAATAATTTTTAATAGTAACTTTTTTTTTTTTTGGTACTGGGGATCGAACTTGGGACCTTGCGCTTGCAAGGCAGGCGCCAAAACCACTGAGCTAAATCCCCGGCCCAGCTTTTGTTATTTTAATTATTTCATTTTCTGTCTTTTTTTTTTTCTTTTTGCTGATTGCTATACATTTTGGAGATGAAGCAATTGTTTCATACAAAAAATGGAGGGTATGTGGCTGGGGATTTAGCTCAGTGGTTCCGGCGCCTGCCTTGCAAGCCCAAGGTCCCGAGTTTGATCCTCTATACTAAAAAATAAATAAATAAATAAATAAAATGTAGGGTATAAAATATTCTCAGTAAGAAGCTGTTCATAAATACTTCTAGTCACTGGATTAGAAAGCAAGATTCTGAGATTACTCCTGGGCCCAGGCCTCTGACTTGTCAACCAAGTTACTTCCCTTTAAGTACAATGAATTGCAGAAGTATGGTTAAACAGTTGTCTATGAGGGTTTATTAGCAGACATATGATACGGTGGGTGAGCAGAGATATGGTATTTTCTCTCCCAGTGACCAAAATATTTATATATTTCATAAAGTAGAAAGAACTTTCTAAAAAATTAATAAGATCTGTTTCACAAATTATCAAGTCAGCTGGAACACTGAAATAGTAGAAAGGACAAAAGATTTGTTTTTATGGCTGATAAAAAATTTGTATCAGAGCATCAAGTAAAGTTATTTTCTGTGTTCTGATTTAATGAATCATGTGAGTTGTATCTGGTTGGATGACACAGATTCTGGTTCACTGAAGCCTACTCTAATGCCTTCCAGCACAGCCTTCCTTGGGACAGTGAAGCCAGAATAACATGTCAGACTGAAGTAATATCAAAGGAAGAGAAAGCAGGGCTTGAGATGCTACAAGGTTGACTCATAACATTTCTTGACCTGTAAGTGTCCGGTAAGTCTTATTCAATGTTCTATGGGCTTCAATGACCTAACAAGCACCAGGCAGCAACAGTAATGCAATAATGAATGGTCCTCAAATGATTTTTGCAATTCAACCTGAAAAACACTACACTTATTAAATGGTTTTAACTCTATTGAAAAACAGCTTTAGAAACCACTAGTGGTTTCCTAAAAGGTGAATGAGCATTAAATGTTTTATATATGCTTATGTAGTATTTATTTTAGTTCAAATATGTTGGATTTTAAAGTGAACATTAATTTAGAAAATAAAACTTTTCTGATGGTATTCAAGATAAAACATGTTAAAGAAAAATTAAACACTAGATATGTAAAAATACAGATACTAGATAATGAGCTCATTCAGTTAATAAAATGACTGTTAACTATTAAAAATGAAACTAAACGAGTATTCTGTAAATATCCCACATGGGGATATTCTATTACTTGTGAAGAACTGGGTCCTCAGAAGAAATGACAGTAAAAATATAGAGGAGGGCTGGGGATTTAGCTCAGTGGTTTCACTGCCTGCTGCAGAAGCTCAAGGACCCGAGTTTGATCCCCAGTACCAAAAAAAAAAAATATAGAGGAATGATTATAGCCTATCAAAACATGGCATATCACTTTAAATGAAAATTATTAAAGGAAAATAATAAAGGTGTGATATTTATTCCAAGTTTAAAAAGTCAATAAAGGGCTGGGGATTTAGCTCAGTGGCTCTGGTGCCTGCCTTGCAAGCACAAGGCCCTGAGTTCGATCCCCAGTACCAAAAAAAAAAAAAAGTCAATAAATAACTGCTTTTTCCTTAAGCAAAATTTTTACTTAGTATTTAGAGTTAAAATCTGAAAGAGTACTTACAATGACAGCAACACCACAGCAATTAATGTCCACTCCACAGGACTGTGTATAATATTTCTATTTGTTAATCTGAAAGATAGCAAGATACAATTTACTCAAGGATCTTTACATTTAAATAAGTAAATCTTTTATTTGTGGATAAAATCAACTTATGATATTACATAAGTACTTTAAAAATATTTATATTTGACCAGAAAAAGTATATTTTTTCTGTATCTGATAATGACCATTTCAAAAGAAAGTATTTTAGCCCCACTTTTATATACAGTATTTATAATAGTACCATTAAATAAGAGGGAAATACAGGAACAATGAGGGAAACCAAATTGCATGGTTTATTAGACTACACAATACATATACACATTGTAACAACATTGTCTATGCTTTCCCCTAACCAAACATTTTATTGAAACTAAAAAGGTAAGTAATTTCTGATTTTAATTTATCTTTTGTACCTTTCTAGCTAGGCTGGCATCAGGCAATTAAGGGATGTCATAAACCACAATTTACAGAAAAGAGTTGGCTTAATAAATTATAAGAACAGTCATTGTTATTGGTTGTATTTAGATGTCCCCCCAAAGCCTCATGTGATCCTAGGTGGAGCTTTTCCAAGGTGGCTGGATCTAGGGCCTGTAATTACTAAATTAGTACACTGATTGGTCTGGCATAGTTCTGCGTGTGTGTTTAATGGGAAAGCTCACCCTGGGTGTGTGTGGTACCACCCAAAGGGCGGATAACCGGGATGGATATAAAGGGAGAGAAAAGAAGGCAGGCTGAAGCTGGTTCTTTGCTACTTTGCTGCTTTGCTACCTTCTGCCCACCATGAGCCGTTTCTACTCTGTGATGCCCCTCTGCCATGCCTTGGAGCCAGCCAGCTATGAACTGAAACCCCTACAAACTGTGAACTACAATAAACCTTTTTTCCTTTAACTTTGGGTGTCAGGCATTTTGTCTCAGCAACAAAAAAAGTAACTAAGAGACAGTCTTTATTAGTGAAAGCTTAAGTTTTAGAAAATCTTAAATTCTATCACTTAGCCATTGATGATAACAAAATATTCTGAACATCTTTGTTTCTCAGAAAGCATTTAAAAACATCACTCTGCATCATAAAATGATGGAGACAGGAAGAAACAGTGCCCTTAACATACTGTTGATATAAGCCAATTAATAATTTGGCAGTATCTAGCAAGCTAAAAATTACATAATAGCCCAGCAATTTTACTTTTAGATATAAACCTAAAAGAACACTCTCATTTGTGCACAAGGAAATGTACATGAAGACTGTTAATACAATACTGCTTGTAATAGGTTAAAAAATAAATTGTGACATATTCATAGAATACTGGATACCTGTTCAAACAAAATGATGCATATTTATGTTTTGCTCCTAATTCTGAAAGAAAGCAAATATGGTATGATAATGCTTATATAAATTGAATACAGACAAAACTAAATATTTTTTATGGATAATATAAAAATAGTAAATATATAAAAAATATAAAAAAGGATGCACATTTACTTCACAGTGTACATTGCTTCTAGAGAGGAAAGCATGGAAAGAAAATGGGTTTTTTAATAAAATGGAGTACTACTCAGCCATAAAAAAGAGAAATTTGAGACATTTATTGCTAAATGGATGCACATTGAGGTGATACTCTTAAGTGAAATAAACAGGACACACATGTGTAAATACCGAATAGTTTCTCTAGTGTGAGAAACTGAAAGTGTAAATAAGGACTAAAAGATAAAATAGATAATGTGAAATAGGAAGAAAAGGGGCAAAGGGGAAGGGGAAGTAGGAGGGGTAGGGGAAAGGAAAAAGGGAATGGAATTAATTTGAGAAAATGAAAAAATGGAAACAAAGTCTTTGTAAATAGGGTGGCATGAAAGGATTGATCGGAGGGCAGGGGAAGGGGGAAAAAATAAGAACCAAGAGAGACTATGTAAAGGTGCAAATTTCCAATGATGAATGTCATTATATTGTGTATCTAAAATGTACCAATAAAAGGATATTCAGTTAAAAAAATTAAATTTTATCAAATGAAAGACATTGTTCTGGTATACATGGTAGAATAAATACTTCTGTTTACCTCTTCTTTCTCTCTAAGTGTCACTAGACAATAAAGGAATTTTTAAAAAGGAAAAAAAAAAAGAATGGATTGGGAAAGGAAATAAAGGGGACCTTATGTCTTCTGCTTCCCTCAAGTAAATTTCCTTATATGTCATCTTTGCAATAGGCCTGAAGGTACTACTCTATGAAAAAGTACAACTTGCCCTCTACCTCCTACCTTAATACTTCGACCCCCTTACTGTACCATATTTTTCCTTTTCTGTTATAACACTTCTCATCTTCTAACATATTATTCATTATGTTTTCTTTTGTCCAAGGGGAGGAATCTTTGCATTCTTCACCTATTTATTACAAGTGTCCAGAACAAGTACCTGGCAACCAGAGGACAATCAGTTAATATTTTTGAATTCATAAATTAAACTGTATTTTTTTCTTTCATTTAAGAATGTGTAATGAATCAAATATTAGAAAACTTTAAAAATCTATTCTTCATAATTTAAAGTATTTTTCAAAATTAAAAAAAGTCTAGAGATGATTGCTGTGAGTTCGAGGCCAGTCTAGGCTACATAGTGAGTTCAAGGCCAGCCTGAGCTACATAGCGAGACCCTGTCTCAAAAAACAAACAAACAGAAATATATATATATATATAACACATATATAACAAACAGAAATATATATAACATATATATATAACACATATATATAAAACACCTGCTATAGATATAGTGTTAGTCTGACAGATCTGGGATTAGTACCCAAATCCATCACTTAGTAATGTTTTGTCTTGAACATGTTATTCGAAGGCTGAAACCCTTTTCTTTTTTTTTACTTTTTTGAGACAGGGGCTTGCTATGTAGTTCAGGAGACTGGCCTTGACCTCACAGCGATGCTCCTGACTCAACCTCCTGAGAGCTGGGATTGGAGTTCTGTGCCACCATGTCCGGCCTTTTCCTTTAAGAAAAATTTGATAAAATAAGAACAATAACACCACCTTTCAGAGTTCTTGAGGATTAAATATACAAGACATCCACGATGCCAAATCCAACTAACTAACTCATCTTAATCTTAGTACATGTGCTGCCAAAGCAAGCACTGATTCATCTTAATCTATCAGCAGCATTCTGACAAGAGTTGATCATGTCCTTCTCACTTCTCTCACTGGCACTCATTCTCAGACCTTTCAGTACTGGAGAGTCCCAGGGCCTCTGCTGTTAGGTCTTTTCTCTCCTCTATAAACACTCTTCCCCTTGGTGATATTATCTACTCTCAAAGCGTTAAATATTAGGTTATCTATTTGCTGACAACCATCAAATTTATTATCTCTACCTGGACCTCTTCCTTGAATTCCAGATTTCTATAGCTAATGGTCCATTTGACATCCCTTACTTGGAAGTCTAAGAAGCATATCAAAAGTCTGAGTTCCTCATCATCCCCTCAGCAACAGGTCCTCCTATGGATATCTGCATCTTGGTAACAGTCAATAGCAATCCCATCCTTTCAGAATTCAGCTGCTGAGTCAAAATCTTATGATTAAATTAGACTCTATATATCCCATGTCCAAACAGTCATCAAATCATGAAGGTTCTGTCTTCAAATCACAACCTGCTATTTTTTAAAAAGAATCTGCTAAGTTCTTACTACTTCTACTGCTTTCTCTCTTTTTGGTTCATATTATTTCTCACTTAGATACCAAAAAAGCCTCCTAATTGGTCTCCTTGCCTCTGCCTACCTGTTGTTAATTCTTAACTCAGCAGCCAGAGCGATGCTGTGAAAGAAAGGTGTATTAGATCATGGCATGACATTCCTTTGTTCAGAACCCACCAACTGCTCTCAATCTTTCTCATAGTTAAGAAATGCTATGGCTATATGGGCTATACCATTTGTGTAAACTTCTGTCCCACACTTCTCTTACCATATCTTTTTCTACTCTTGCTCTGCCTATTTCTTCAAGTTTATCAGCATCTTAAATATTCTGTGACTATCCAAGGGCCATTCCTATTTTCAGGCTTTTGCACCTACTGTTCCCTCTGAATATATTTTCAGAGACAGCAACAGTTTCCTCTCTTACATCTTATTATGAGGTCTTCCTTAAGCACTATCCTTTTTTGAGAGACAGTCTTGCTATGTAATTCAGGCTGGCCTTCAACTTACTATGTAGCCCAGGCTGTCCTCAAACCCTTGGCAATCCTCCTGCCTCAGCCTCCCGAATGTTGGGATTATAGGTGTATCATGACCAACCTAAGTAGTCTCTTTAAAATACAACTTTCTTGGGCCAGGGATGTAGCTCAGTGGTGCCGTCCCTGCCCGGCAAGTGCAAAGTCCTGAATAAACAACTTTCTCCCTTCTCAGTACCATCCTATTTCACTGCTTCTGGGAAGAAAAGTAGAATGAACTGGAAAAGGGTATACCACCACAGAATAATATGAGGTGTATTACATTTTAAAAAGATATTCCTGGGGCCAGGGATTTAGCTCAGTGGTTCTGGCGCCTGCTGTGCAAGCGCAAGGACCCAAGTTCGATCCCCAGTACCAAAAAAAAAAAAAAAGATATTCCCTTGAGTAAAACGTAAGTTTTATGACAGAAGAGATTTTTTTTTTTTTTGAGTACCAGGGATTGAACTTAGCACCTTGTGCTTGCAAGGCAGGTGCAGCACCACTGAGTTAAATCCCTGCCTTGATGAAAGAGATTTTTCTGTTTTGTTCACTGCAGCAACAAAAGCAGAATCTAGCATATAACCAAAACAGTTACAAGGTTAAGCATAAAACAAAAAATGACAAAATCAGTTAAACAATTTCCTTTTCTAAGGCTGTGCACGGTGGTACATGTCTGTAATCGCTTGGGAGGCTGAGGCAGGAGGATTGCCATGAGTTTGAGGCTAGCCTGGGCTACATAGTGAGTCCAAGGCCAGCCTGAAATACAGAGTGAGACCCTGTCTCAAAAAACCAAAAAGAAAACGATTTCCTTTTCTACTGTTTACAAATCTCCCAAAGTTAAAACA